ATTCCCACGGGGTGGCATAAAGATCGTTACGTATGATTTACGATCATGGCGTCAGGGCCGAAATTTTATGACATATGCAAGATACTGAACAGCTATCTCGTGGATATAGCTGATTTTCCGGGCGAAGAATATGGAAACACCCGCCATTAAGTCAACGGCCACACTGTTTACCACCTGGACAGCGGAGATGATGCTACCTTCAACTATGCAGGTCGATGGGTCCACAATTCTGACCACCAATTACCCTAAGGTTCTAGGGGCCACATTCGATAAACTCTATAATCGTGCGCGCATGCCATAGCTTTTTGCGGTAAAGTCGGGAACAAGGTTCTCAAGTCAATAGCCGGCTGCACTTGGGGAGCTGACATAAAGAGCTTTTTACAACCTACACAGCAATAGGTCGATCTGTGGTAAAAAAATGCGCCTCCAGTGTGGTCAGCCAACGTTAGTGCAATTCAATGGAAAAACATTCTATCCTGCCAGAATGCCGCCCTTAAGACTGCAGCAAGGAGTCTCCTCAAAACTCCAATAGACCGCTTACATAGACGAAGATCTCTCCTGTGCGTCAACAGCCATCCATTACCTAATGAATAGGCATCCACATGCCTACGTATGTCAGGAGTGATTTTCATGATATGGAGAGACGTACCAAAGAGAGTCTCTAGGTCAACGGACCTTTCAAGCAAGATTGAATCGTATTCACACTGATTCAGTTGAGGAAGCAATTCGGCCGAATACAATTTTGGAGAAACTCCGCTACCAATAGCAGCAGCTACGACGACAAACTACAGGGGTTTGGGTCAATTTTTGCTGACACGGTGGACAGTATCTGCCCGGCATGTGGTAATGGTCCACGATGACAAACATCTCTTCAACTGTTCAGCCAACAACAGGTGCAAGTCACCGCCTTTTTTGAACCTAAGAAGCAGCACCAGAATAACAGATAACAAGTTAAAATATCGGTAACTTCGGTCGTTCAGTATTTTTTAAATCTTCCACATTTAAAATATCTGTCATGGTCTATGTCATGGCAATTTTTAGTAGAAAGATTTGATACCCAATGCTACCGAATGAGAATTCAAAATACTAAACTATACAGCCTTATTCTGGATGTCAATTCCATGTGAATTTATTCGCTCTTCCCCTTCGGCTTATTCTGAACAACATTTTCCTGTGAATTTTTTTTGCATTCTCGCTTTCGCCTTATTCTGAATGAAGTTCGAAAGCGAAAAAATCCGCTTGGGGAAAAATTAGGTATTCTGAATTACAGGGAGTAGGAGAATGAGATGAAATTTTGTGCGAAATTTTTCGCTAATAAATTTAAAGGGAGTTGACTACAAAAACATAAGTAATAACTATTTTTATGAAAAGTATTTGCACAATACTTATTCTATGACGATTTAGAATATTATAAATGATAGTAAGCAAATTTTTGACTGGAAAACAACCAATAAAATGCCATTGGAAATCCTATTGATAACGATGGATGCTGAACCAAGTATTGCAAAGGAATGTATGAAGGTAATAAGTAATATTTAAGTCGAGTTTGATGCATTTTGGAGGCGAAATACAGACATTTTTTGGTGAGGATGTGTCTCTCAAGAATAAAATTTTAAAAATTATGGAAAACCCAAATTTGCCTGATGAGCCGCTTAACAGTGAAAAACTTAAATACAAATTATGAAAGAACAAAAATATTTTTTTTTTTCAAAATTATCGTGTGCATGATTTGAAGGAAGAAATAAAGGAGTAGGAGCAAATCATAACATAACAGGCCACTTTAAGAATTTGGGGAGATAAAATATCGGAATTAAATAGAAAGGCACACAATTATGTAGTGAAATAATAGACTGTGAATTAATTAATTAAATCGCAGATTTCTTCCTATTATTCGTTGTGTTTTTGCCATCATAAAAAATGTTCTTTTATTTGTAATCTATTGTAGTTGTTGCAACGAATTGCATCAAAACAATAAACAGCTGCTTCACATGCCATATTGTAGGTTGCCATATTTTCAAACTTTAATTTATTTTCTTTTAATTACAAAGTATTTATACATTGGATTCTTGATATTTTAAATTTGTATTGCTATAAAGTTTAAATAACAATAAAAAGTAACAATTTTTAATAACAAAAATCAATAAATAATTGCCCATGTGCTGCATTTCGAGTTTGCTCGAATGTGAAACATTTTCCCAAATTTGGTGTGCTCCATTCCGAATTTCCAAAAAAATATTGGAAATATAATTCGAGCACATATAGCCTTGTGGATTGAAAACGAAATGAGATCGTACGTGTTTTTCTGAGCACGTACCCATTAAAAAAGAACGCTAAAGTAATATTTAACGTGTTTTTACAATATTTATTTAAAAAATACAATACTTACATTAGTTTTATAGTAAAATTAAAGAAAATAAAAAAGGGCTCATTTTATCAAAAACAGCGCGTAACATTTTTGAGATCAATCTGGCAACTCAACCACCATATGATCAAAATAAAAATAGAATCTATAAAAAATCTACTTTTAAGATTTCCAATAGTCCTTTTAATAATGTTTCTTGCAGATGTGTGCCCTTTATTATGTCGATGTTGACAAGATCCATGCTCCACTTGTTTATAGGGCGTCATCAAAAATGTTTCTAAAGCGTAACCACTGTCTCCTAGAAGCCAACTATTTTGCATACCATTTCCTCTTCTGCCTACCTGCACTCGTATGCCAAATAAAAGCATCATGGCTGGATCCTGGTCTGCAGCTGTCCACTGCTTGCACACACTTTTGTCTTCCAGGATTTTCAATACTCTCCACAATATTTTACACATTGTTCTGCGATCAACACCTATGTTTAAATCATTTGCCACTACCCTCTGAAACCCACCAACAGCCAGAAATCTTAAGGTAGCTGCTAACTGCAGGCTTTCGGGAATGGTACCCTTGTGTATGAAAGGGCCAACTTCTCTCAAAATATCCATAAATGCTTATTTTAACACGTTCCAGTATCATTAGACTTTTTCTGGTAGAAACCAGGACAATAATTAAGCCAGCAGCCATATTTTTTTCTTAAATTTGTTGTTAAACAAATTGCAAATTCCAATGAAACATATTTTTTTATTGAACACATTTCGTAACATATTGAACACAGCTATGTTTTCGAGCCGCACTTTCGTTCGAAATTGAGCACACCATTTTGCACAACATGGGGATTTAAAAAAGTATGGGAATTCAAAAACTCTCGGAACATGTCACATGGGCGAATATATTGAAAACTGTTACACAATTAAATTACAATGGGGCAACATACATTGCAATTTAAATTACAATATGGCCACACACATTGCAACTTAATTTACGATATGGCAACACGAATCTTTTTTTCAACCACCATTTTCGAAAACTCGAATCCGCATCTCGCATTTTTTGCATCTCCCTATTCATTCAGAATAAGGCGAGAATGTGAAAGCGAAAACTTTTTACATGCGAGATATCTCCCTAGCAAATATCCAGAATAAGGCTGATAGCGATTAAATTATTGGTGGAAAAACGCGTCCTAACTCCCCAAAATACTGAACAGGAAGGTACCGTAATATGGGAGCTATCCCAATAGGTAGACCGATGATGCCGAGATATTTAACTTCCTTAAAAATTCTAGAGCATTCCATCGAATATTGGTACGAGGTTAGAATCTAGATATATCCAAAAATCCATTCGATAAGATAAGTTACTAATAATAATAGTCGTATATATGTAACAAATAAAGTAAACATTTTAATTTGTTGAACATAATATTGTTTTATTTATTTTTTCAAAATTTGTTATTGTTCACAGATATAATTTGATCGTTAGCATTTGCATTAACATTCAAATAGTGGGGCATAACAAATTTTCAGCAGTAATTCAACAACAAATATACAGTGTTAGATAAATATATATTGGTTTGTTGTTATACATACTTTAATTAATATCAATTTGTTGTCATAATATAAACATTTATTTGTATCTATACGAATATCTACGGTACATATTATTATAGCTAATGAAGAAAATAAGAACAAAAAACTCTCATCTATTTTCTTTTATTTAAATCTCATTTATATATTACATTGATTGAATCTATTCGATAACCTTTTGCAGCATTATAAATAATAGAGAAGAAATGCAAAGGGGAAGTTGGGAGTTAATCAGACAAAATTCATAGCTCTTCTAAAATGAAATTCATAGCTCTTATAAGGAAAATAAGCATAAAATTTAGTGTGTTTATATTAAATAAAAAATATAATAAAAAATTAACGTACAAAATAAAATTTGTAATTCAATAAAAAGAAAGAGAACTTAAAACTAGGATGCCACAAATAAAGTAATATTTGTTTGATATAGACTACTACTTTATGAGGGCAATAACTGGTTGGTTTGTTTGTCTTGTTTTGTGTGATGAAGTAAAAAAATATATAATTAAAATAATATTTAAAAATACTTATATTTACATATTAAAATCTAATTTCATGCAATTTAAAAAAATAATTAAGATTTAGTTTTTTTTTCTATAAGGGTTTGTTCAGGCATTGGCAATAGGGTGACATATATTAGGGGGATGCATTAAAAATCGTCTCTGTTCAACATTTGTTACAAAAAAATAAATTGTTTGTTCTGTTTCGCTATCTATAGACGGGACGGTCGAGTCATTTACAACACAATAACTGAAAAAATCTTCTAATAACAAAAATTATCGTGATGGTATTTAGTTGTAAACATAGTATATTCTTTTTTTTGTATAGCATATCATATGTTTGTTCATAAATATTGTATTGTACTGTTTGATCACAAAAATAGAACAGGGGGTTGTATAAAATTCTTATAATCATTTCATTAGCTAAATTTAGATCGTTTTTTAGTAGTAATACTTCTTTTTATAGGGCAATGGAATGGTATGATGTGGATGCTTATTGTGGTGATGGTATACAAGGATTTTTTCATAGTGCTTAGAGCGGTTCTAAAGTTTTCCCATTTACGATGTTGATTCCAATAAAACAGCTGCCGCCAATTCTAAACTCCATCCGGTTTTCTGTAAAGCTTGTTCGCACAGTGGTCGATTAGCAACACCCAATCTGTAAGAGAAAAGTAAAATTAACGATGTACGGCAATAAAGAGTTCTATATCTATGATAGAAAAGGTCGTATAAGATTGTAAGCTGTTCGTTCTAAATATATAGAATCTGGAAGGATTATTTTTTTGTGACCCAATAGTTATAAAATATTTTTCAAATTTAATTTCTTCCTTCAACTCCAACATTCCAGATTTATAACCTTTTTTTCATAAAAATATCCCAGATATCCCAATCTGTCACTCTATCGCAGTTAGATGAAGACAAACTAAACTAGACTGTTCAATGAAAGACATTTTTCGTTTGAAACCTAAAAGTTCTCATTTCTGCGACAACAAGCCACTAAGCCACCTCTAAGAAGAATAACGTAAAAAAATTCTACACAAGAAACATTTCTGTAAACACATTAGGCTTTCTATCTGCACAGGCCTGAAGAAGGTTTTCTATCTATAGAAACGATTTATAGAAGACCGCAATTGTACCAGAATACAATCAAATGTGGAAGAGGGTAAATATGTCTCCATAGATTCTAGTAGTAAAGTACAAAAGGTCTTTACAGCAGAACAGAAAGTATTTACAGGAGACCAAAATAACTCATTAAAGACTGATAGACAACAAAGTTCTATGGGGCACCATAATAACTTATGGAAGACACTGTTTTTTTTTTCTTAGGGAGGATCAATTGGTTTATAAAAAATCATACCATAAAAACGTAAAAAATGTAAGCAGAAAGTCCAAAATTCTTTAGGCAGAACATATATCTTCAAACCTACTTTTAAAAGATCACAATTTTGTTCGGAGACTCCTATAATGTCAAAAGATATTATAGAAGACCAATATCATTTCTAGAAGCCACACGGTCCTACCTAATAATACATAAAAAAAAATCAAGAAGGATATACATGCTCTAAAGAGAGGTCCAAATATATAAAAGGGAACCGCTAGACAGTATTCACACAGATGAAATAGCTGAGGCTACTCGGAGTTCATCCCCATTGACCACTACCTAGGTAAATTTGAGGCGGTTGTGGATGGGTGCGAAATGATAACATTTTACAGAATGGCTGGCCAACAACTGTCGGTTCCCAAGACAATCTGACCAATTTCTCTTCTTTCACCAGCAGCCAAGGTTTTAGAGTCCCTATTGCTTCCGTCCCTGAAACAGAATTTCGTTCTTGCTATCCATCAAATGGCCTCAGGGATTGTAAGAAATTACTAACACGATTGCGAAGGGCCACTATCAGCGACGACCACCAGAACGGACCATTGTGGCAGTCTTAGATCTGTCCGTTCATCAAAATATCTCAAGATAAAAATAATTCCATTAACCTAATTCCATTAAGGGACCCCCCCCCCCCCATTCTCGGGGTCAAAATAAGGACTTTTCTTTAATTAAATAAAACAATAACAAAAATTTTTTGTAAATTATTTTTCTTCTCTTTTAAATCTTCAAATATATATGTGCAAAGTTACAAAGCTTAACAAGCATTGGTATTGATTTACCATCCCATTGAAAATCTTGAAAAATAAAAATCGAGAATGGGTGGTATCCCCTTAATATGTTCTCCATTTTCCTTTTTCTATTGCTTTTACCAATATTTTTAAGATAGAATTTTCACCAATAACCAACCTGTTACAACAACATTCGAAGATCCTTCCTGTGCGTCAACACAACAAGATGTTGTCGATGCAATTACCTACCTGTTATAGAAGAAGCCATCCAAACCATTACTTAAGGGTAGGCATCAACCACCTAGGCATGCCATTATCTGAATAGAGGTCCAAAGGTATAAAAGGGAGCCTCTAGATAAACAGGTCTATCAAGCAGGATTGAGTCGTATTCACATGGATTTAATTCGAGAATATCGTGTAAATACAAGCCTCGGTGATAACCCGCCTACGTTGGCAGCAGAAGAGCAGGACAAACCAGAATGGTCTTGGCACAACTGAGAACTGGATGGTGTAGACGCCACAATTCATATTAGGAACGAATTGACGGTCAACAATATATGCCCGGCATTCAACTCCCAGTTGAACCCACTCATCTAACCCCATCTTCACTTTGGACACAACCGATACAGATCGCAGCTTGCAGCCAGTGTGGGTCGCGAATGTTAGCGATAAGCAGTGGAAGAAAATCCAGACCTGCCAGAATGCTGCCCTGAGAACTGCAACAGGGTGTCTCCACATGACTCCTGTAGACCATCTTCATGAGGAGACGAAGATCTTACCCGTCCATCGTCACAATTATATGTTGTCGATGTAGTACTTGCTTGGGTGCTATCGTGAGGAACATCCCTGCCATAGTCTTATGGACAGGACTCCCTCACACAGGCACGAAGAAGAAGCCTATCAAGCTAGTCTGAATTGTATTCACATGGACGCAGCCGCGAAGACAGTAGAGCAATATCGTATGAATACCATAATTGGAGACCATCCCCATCCATCGCAGCAGAGGAGAAGCAGCTGCCAAGGCAAACACGAGTAGTCTTAGCTCAACTAAGATCAGGATGGTGCAACCGCCTCAATTCATATTGGGCAAGATACACGTTGCCCCTCTTCAACTGCCCGGATAAGCATACTCATCTGCCGCCGAATTCACTTCGGACGCAACCCATTCAAGTTCCAACATTCTTGAATTTGGAGGTAGAGGTAGCAGAACCAGGCGCATTCTGTTGCTACAACAACAAAAACAACAGAAGGGTGGGCTGGGGTGTGTAAAAACAATACGGCAGCTACAACAACAAATAATAACAAGTAAAACATCGTTAAGTTCGGGGGGTCGACCTTAACATTATGTACCAAATTACAGATACATATGTTGGAAAATCGGCCAGGATCTTAAACATATTTAAATTGGCTGGAATCTTTATATAGAGACTATGCCACAACATTTACCTATATTGAAAATTTTCTGCCAAGAGGTCTCCTACCCTCTTACAATCAGAAATGCTTCCTTATTGCCGTATCATTTGCAAATGGGTAGGACGATTAAAATACTGAAAAATTTATTAAAATAAGTTTTGTACACACCAAAAATGTCAAATTACAACCACAACCGGGTCTTGAGAAGAATATTTCGAGGTGTTGCAAGCTGAATGATAAATTTAATATACACTTCAGCATGTGGCGTGACTCGCAGAAATTTTGTAGAAGAACAAATTTTCTTAAAGGTGAATAGAATGAAAAGTCAGTAAGAATTATAAAATGTCTTATAGAACATGTCGGTATAATAGTAAAAATCTGTTCTCATATAACATCGTAGTTCCAATCGTAGAATGAAAATCGATTTAATTATATATTTATGTAAAAAATGTCCTTTATAATTTTCAAACCTCATATTTTCTTCATATTATTCAAAATTATTCTATAACTCCCGTTCAATAAATCGCATTCTTACCTTGACAGTTGATCAATTTTATAATGCCGTATAGCCAATGTAGTATCACCACTTGCAGCACGCAATGCATTGCGTACATCAATTTCCTGAGCATTTGGTCCAAGATCTTGCATCATTTGTTGCAGCTTTTGTTGTTCCCTTTCGTATTCGGATGGTATAGGGGCATATAGATTATTACTACCCTCCATTTGGGCTTCTTGTTGTCGTTTTAGTTTTTCCAAACGACGTTGAATTTGTTGAGCCGATAATTGTGGTGGTGCCAATGGTGCCGGACGATGTGGTCTAAGATAATCATCACCTGCAACTTCATCATAAATTGCCGGTTGAACACCACCACCGTTTGAATAAATTTGTCCATTCCCAGGCATGTGGCTGAGAGGCACTTGTCCATAATATGTTGAAGGTGTGGGAGCGACTGAGTCATATATACCCGGACCCGTAACACTACCATAGATGGATGCAGATGAGGCATAGACTTGATTGCCTGTTTTAGGCGGGACAACACGATTTGAAACGGCCACAAAACCATGATTGGCTTCTTGGTTGGTGGTGGCGGCGGCAGGGGTGGCTTGATAAATTCCCTGATTGGAATATATATTCTCGGCTGTGGGTTGGGCATAATACTCCGATTGATTGGCAACACGTTCATACCAGATGCGATTTACAACACTTTGCGTCGTATTGGAAACGTCACTGGCAGCTGTGGCATTTTCTAGATTATTTTGTTTTTGCATGTCCTGATTGCTGGCGGCATATATTGAACTGCTAGCATATTGACTCTGCCTATCGGTGTTGTGCATTTTTGGCGAAGCACCATTGTTCGAGGAGGGACTTGAATTATTCGAAAGAGAATTTGAGGAATTTTTCAATGGTGTTAAATTTTGTTTATTGGCATAGACAGCTTCCTTGTTCGTGTACATTTGTGTTGTGTTGCGTTCAAAATCATTATGTCCCTTATTCGAATACATATCCTTTTCCAGTTCGGCTATGAAATTCTTATCCAAAACAACTTGGGCATCATTCACTGTGGTTTGTTGTGTCGTTTGTTTTTCCAGCGAAAGGGTACTTAGATTTTTCTGCAACGCTGAATCTTCTGCGGCTGATATTGCGGAAGCTTGTTGTGTTTGTAACGCTTCGTATTGTCTAAGGCTTGGAAGATTTTGTGTTGTTTCATTTGTTATCTGTGGTATATTTTCTTTGTTACCCGTTATGGAGATGTTGGAAGCAGATGTTGAATTGGGTACAGCACCGACGCCGAAAAGACTTTTGCGTGCAGCTGGACTATTATAGTTGGAATTGGAATTTTGCAGGGAAGTATTTCTGAAAATAAGAAGAAGGAAGAAATGGAATTAGTATTGAAGACAAAATGGGGTAATATTAAATCATAAATTGTCATAACATTTAAGAAAATATGCAAAGGCCTCACAGAGTTTTTATATTTTTTTTAGAAAAAAAGATTGTAGAAAAGACAAAATGACTTTAAACCCCTAAGAAGTACCTTAGAGAAGACAATAAAAGATTTTAGAAAGTCATCATAGAAAACATTGTGGGCTTTAATACCGTTGTACTTAGAAAACGGGAAATCGAAAGGTCTTAGAATAGCCTTATAAAAAGGCAGAGACCTCAAAAAGGCCAGACAGCTTTGAAGAATATTAAGAGGCCATGAGTTCTTTTAAAAGTCTCGTAATCCCCAAGAAGATCATGAGGACTCATAGAAAATCAATACATTTTATGAAAACGAAAAGGTCTCACAGAAGAAGAATCAAGGTATTATACGATTATGGGTAAAAGGTCTCAGAATATCAAAATCCCTCTCACCTTAAAGGAGTATCCTGTTGTTGTTGCTGTTGAATTTTCATTACATTCGAGTATAAGGCATTAATATCATCGTTATTACCCCCAGCTGACTGATTGCTGGATGTACCATTTATATTTATTTTACTTGTATCAAATGGATCGCTACCACGTTGTTGTTGCTGCTGACTAAATTCCAATGTATTTGAATAGGTGGGTGGCATTTGATATGGGGGTGGATGCAAACGTGAAGGGGAAGCACCAGCAAATTCAAATTGTGTTTGTGATTGCATTTGTGTCGTCGGCATTGTTGGGGTATGTGGCATTACAGACGTATTGTCATTATCCAAATATTCACCGTCTCCCTCTGTGGGTACATCTATGGGTGCATCGAGAATACAAAACGAACTATCAACATGCATTGAGGCACTTTCACCCAAGTGCAATAGGGGTCCCTGTTGAGGTGGCCCTACACCACCAAATTCCGGTGATATGTCAATAAGTAAACCCTCCTGTTGCTGCTGTTGTTGAGGTGGTGGAGGCCTTTGTGGTCCTTTTTTCTTGTTGCCCTGCTGCTGTTGTTGTTGCTGCTGCTGTTGATATCTTTGCATTTCCACAGCCCTTTCATTAACCAATTTATTATAGGAAAATTGTTTATTCACCACAGACTTTCGTTCTTTGGCATGGTGGAGTTGTTGCATGGAATGTGCCTGCAAGGAGTTGGTTTTGCGAGCCCTTTCCGCATGCATTTCACTTGCAGTAGGAGCCATGGTACCAGCACCACCCCAACAAAAACCAAATGGGGAACCTGAATGACCCGTTGCACGAAGGCTTTCGTGATTATGACGTATGAGATCACTATTCGTTGGCTTGCTCTTCTCCAAAATGTGACGTGGAAAAATGCCAATATCAAATGTTCTTTGGTTTTGTCCTTTGATCAATTTTAATTCGGGACGGCCATCAATGATGGCAATGCTGTCGCCGGCCTCAATTGACAAACGATTGGGTTCGTTAAAGGCTTTGGCTGCTTTGACAACCTGGGGTGAGACACCAACCAAAAATTCTCTGAAATTAAAAGATTGAATTTAAATTGGAGTCCTTTTAAATGTATTGTGTTTTACTCACTTAATGGCCGCAAAGGTGGGCCTCTCAGCCGGTGTCTTATCCCAACACTGTAACATCAATTCATAGACATCTGGTGGACAGGCATCGGGATGATGTAAGCGCTCTCCTTCCCTATCAATTTTACGTAAAATTTGTGAACCATTCAAACCCACCCAGGGATCTTCACCAAATGTAAACATTTCCCATAGGGTTACACCAAACATCCAGGTATCAGAGGCATGTGAAAATTGTCGAAATCTTAAAGATTCTGGAGCACACCAGGGGAAAGGAACTTTTTTATGTTCTGACATAACATAGCAATCATCCTCCTGGGGTAGAGCACGCATTAGACCAAAATCACCAATTTTAATTTTATTCCCGGAGGCCAATAGGACATTACGGCAAGCCAAATCGCGATGGAGAAAACGTTTTTGTTCCAAATACGCCATACCAGTGGCAATTTGTACCGACCAATTCCATATTGTGGTGAGGGGAGTGTGCTTCAGTTGCTTACGCAAAGTATCCAACAGGGAACCTCTTTCGGCCAACTCTGTTATCATCATCATGGGTTGGGATAGCACCACACCATATAAACGCACCAAATTTGAATGGTCCAAGGCATGCATAGCCTGGACTTCACGGAAGAAATCCTCTATGATGCCGGGTTGGGTTAAATTGTCAGCCTTAAGGACCTGTAAGGTGAGGATTATATTTATTATTCAAACATTTCAAATTCGGCATATTTCATGGAGTCATACTTTAACTGCAACCGGTAAGGTTTTTCCATTTGGAGCTGTTAGCCATTCACCTTTACGCACCACACCAAATGATCCATCACCCAATTTTTGATGCAGTGTGATGTCCTTTTCGTGTATCAGACAGGTTAGCTGAGTATTTTGTTGTTCTTTGTTGTTGGTATTTGATGACTTTTTCGAGGAGGGTTGTTTACCGCCGCCAATCAATTTAGAGAGAATATTTTTACGCCATTGTTGAGCCTTTTTCTTGCGGACTGCCTCCATCAGACGTCTTATGGCCGGCTTACCCAAACCACAACGTTCCAAATCTTCCGGCTGTACATAATCGAAATGGGCAAGGCGTGACACTTGCAAATCATCTCGTATACGTTCTAGGAACTGTTCTAGTTGAACTTCTTTTAGAAGATCTTCTAACCATTCGGTGTCTGTGACATTGTCTAAATGACTAGCAGAAGACATAATGGTGGTGGTGGTTGTTGGTTGGTTGTAGTGGAACTATTTTTTAAAACCTAGGAATCTGAAAATAAAATAATAAAAAATGATTGGAATTAGTTATTGAAAATTCGATTTAATAATTATTAAAATTGCAAAATGTGTTCACAATTGAAGACGTTTGGTTTCTACTCTTTTATATGCAAATGTTAAGAGAGCACCAATATAGAAATTCAAAGAGAATTTAGTTGAGGCAAACCACGACAAAACATCTGAAGAGGAAACTATTTTTTACTCGTTCAATACTCTTTAATGCTGAGCGTAGGTTTCAAAGCTGCCGACTTTTATGTTCAAATATTTTCTGTTTAACAACCTCTCCCAATCCCGAAACCTCCAAAAGTTAGTTTTGGTTTTTATTTAATTGACCTACAAATAAATCGATAAAACAGCAGCAACAACAAAAAAAATGTAAACAAACCAAAAAAAGAAACAAAAACAAATAATGAAAACGAATGACAGACAAACCAAATAAAGGAAAATAAACACTAACGAAATCGTGCACAAAAGCGTGTAGAAAAATAATAAAACGGATTTTATTTTGTTTACAAAAAAATAAAATAAAAAAGACAAATTCACGCCAAGGAAAATAAATAAATATTTAAAGTGGACAGCAAACATAAAAACGAAGGTGGTATACAAATTTGGTTTAATAGGTAGGAAATTTCCATTATGATGAACATGTTGACTATTAGCGAATCAGAAAACAACTTTAATTGAATCGAATTGAATTCAGCGTAAAATGTTACTTTGAATACTGTAAAAACAGGCCTGACATGCAAAGTTTAATCGTCGATAGAACTGTCTAGGTCAAATTTTTCCATCTGACAAAATGAAAATATCCACAGCCAAAATCACAGTTACACTGTGAGTGCAATTATCTTCATCAGAAGAGGTTCAGGATCTAGGAAACGGGTGAAAATATAATCTAGGCTGTAGATCAATAAATTGTGAAGTCGTACTTTGAGACCATTCCCCCTTCTCTTACCGGAAATTGACATTTGGCTGGGATTTCTCTATGGTGTAGTTTTATCTCCGGGGCTGTTTAACCTCTACCTTTCAGGCAATCCACGAGTTGTAGGGTTCTATCGTTGAGGACATATGTGTAAGAGAATGACATCCATTCAACGCAACTAGTAGTACACCGGCTAACGCAATAGAAAAATCATTCATATTCACCAACGCAAATTCTCCTAAGCATAACATAAACACAAAAGTAAGTCAAATACAAATGAATCCCACCGGACTACAATTGTTTCCACAAACAACGCAAATGATCGTTCATAGCAGAGTTTGCACTACCGAGTGTGTGGAGAGCACAGGTTGAAATAAATCAACCGCCAAATGAATAACGGGTTATACGATCAAATGACTTATTGTGTGAAAGAATAAAATACAAAACTGGTGTTGAGAATAACATTGAGAGTAACATTAAGAGTAATTTTCTATATACAGGGGTTGGCTTGCGGTATAATATTTTTGATTTGCGTTTTGCATAAAATAAAATAACGCAACTACAATTAATGGCAAATTAGAAATTAATAGTACAAAAACGTTTTTTTAAACAAAAAAATAATTCATTTTTTTATTATAAAAAATTATAAAATTGCTGCATATAAAATAGTCAGGGAAAATAAAAAAATTATTTAAAAATTAAAAGAATAATTCGTGTTTTATGAGAAATTTTAAAATATTATGTATAACATAACAGAAATAAAAATAAAATAAAAACTAGATTGTCATAGTTCATTCTAAAATTAACTGATCATAAAAACAAACTTCACTCATAGAGTAGTACTGTTATGATGCGGTGCACCGCATTGATTCGGTTGACTTTGTTTCTTTTGCGTTGTTTGCATTGTTTATGTTCTCCCGCACTCACATGCATAAAAACACTCTGAACGAAGCCGGCGATAGCAGAGAGTGTTTATACGAAGATATGATGTGAATGGAAAACAATCGGTAAAGTGAGAGTCATCAATGGCAGTATTTTCACGAATGACCGAGTGTTGACTGTACTATACCGCATCATTTGTAGTTGCGTTAAGTATTACTATCGCTTTATTTAATGCATAACGCAAGTCAAAAAAAAGCTACCGCATGTCCATCTCTGACTCCAATATACCACTTATATGAGGAGACGAAGGTCCTTCCCATGCGTCACACAACAAGATATTGTCAATGCAAATCTCTTTAGAAGTAGCCAACCTATGCATGTAAGGAAGGATATCTTCTATATCAAATTTAATCGTATTCTCACTGATGCAGTTGAGGAAGAAATTCGGACTACTCCCAGTCTTCTACTCTTTTGGAGTTGACTTCGCGCGTGACATAGGAATTCTATCTTTAAGAAGTCACTCGCAATGTCATTCAGATAGCCCCTAGGGAACTTCTAAATGCACCGCCCGATAAACAGGTTGCAGAAATTAACTGCGCTTCAGAGACGCGTTTGTTAGTTCCTCTCTATTTTAACGGCCAACCGGGATCCTCTCCCTCGCCAAGAATTGTGACCATTTTCATCATCAACAAAGACTCAACTTGATTTGGAGAAGTAACTAGGATAGCCATCGTGTTAATCGCCGTAGTTTTAATCACAGTGGTATCCATAGTGTTTTCTACGTCTGTCAAGGGTTAGTTATCCCAGGAATGGGTCGGGATACTCTCTCTCTCTCATGACTAAGGCGGAAGAAATCGGTTTCCGCAACAAAGTCGAGGTCAAGGAAAAGGTCCGTATGTCGCTCTAGGCTTGCATTCACATTATCGAGAATAACGACGGGTTTGATAAAGCAATTAGGATTGGTCATCATCGTTTGTAAAGGTTGATTGCATTCTGACCTTGTACAGCTCGAGATTGAGGAGAATTGGATATTTGGGAACGCCATTCTCGTCACTTTAAGACCGTACAGTCAGGTTCAGTGAGCCTCAAACACGACTATATTATCCTCAACCGATTAGCTCTATATTTCGGATGAAACATTTTCAGATAATTTCAGACTTTCACAGATATCTTTAGAAATATTCTGTCTTAGATGCACGAATGCCCGTTTCTTTCAATAGGATCTATTCAAACTAAACTTCAATACGGCTAACAGCTATGTTCGTTGTCCAGGATCGAGAGGTATAGACAATTAAAAAAATTTATATAGAATAAAAATTCGAATAGGTGTTACAAACCAATCAAGTTTTGATTAATTTACTGCAGTAAATTCCATGATACGTTGGTGATACAAAGAAATATTCTGCAGATCTTTAGTTTTCCATTATATAACTTTATAAAGAGAGTGTAATAAGTATTTTGCCTCAATACAAATTTGACAAAATTCCAATATATACGCCTAAAGCCAGCATACCAAAGATGTAAAATAAATCTTTATCAACCTAAAGATGTTTATCAAAAAAAAAAAAAAAAAAATATATATATATATATATGTATATATGTATATATTTTTTTTTTGCTTTTTATTACTATTTTAGAAAATATCATTACATAGCACACGTTTGGTCTTTTTATAGTTACCATTGCGGCTAACCACATACTATAAGCGATTTGGCGACGATTCCAAGAAACCGCGGAATTTTTTCGTAAGTATTTTCTCACATTTACATTCAATGCATTCTCCAGCAATATTTTATTTAATATTTAGTATTTTCTCGTCCTAATCTCAGAATAAGAGTATTAAATATGTTCGTCGCGGCTTTAAAACATCCCAAAAATATAATGAGAGAACAGGACCTTCAAAACTATAAAAGCCAAAATCCAACAAACAAATATTGATCTAGGAACCAATATATGCAATGAAGATACCAATAAGGTGCTTTTAGCCGATATCTTCGAGATCAATAGGTCTTTTGCAGTGATTCTTGCAGAAATAAGATCTAAATATTTCCACAAATATATTCCATCATATATAATTCATTTTACATCTTTATTATGCTGGCTTTAGGCGTATATGTTGGAATTTTATCAAATTTGTATTGAGGCAAAATAGATATTACACTCACGGTATATAAAAAAATTTAATAATTAACCTAGGCATTTCGATTAAATTGTTATTTACCATTTCCCCCCTTAGCCACTACTCAAATGCTAACTGACTGACTTACGACTCTGATCTTTGGAATTCCGAGAGGTTTTTTAATTTTAAACGTGACTTTGAAATTCTTTCGACGAGATATTAATCTGTCATTTGTCGGAGTAATTTTTATTAAGTTTTTGTTTTTGCAATGCGATTCCCTTTCTCTTCTGATTTCGTTTTTCTACATTTCTCGTAATTACATTTCTTTCTTTCATATCAACCTTAGGGGTATTTGTGAACTTGATCTTGAAAAACAGAATACAACTGCAGCAGCAGCATTCCTCGGAACACTTTCCATATAAACATTATAATAATGACGGAGGCAGTAAAGACGTTCGTTGTTTGTTTGTATGGCGTTTTTGTTGTAAACATTTCAATGCCAATAATTCTATCTAATAGCAGGCGACGACAAATGACGTTCAGCAGCAGCCAGTATTAGTTTTTATAACACAAATGCCCGTTGACGACAAGTTTATATTTTGTTTAAAGACAAACAAATAGTCGTAAGGGGGGAGGGGTACGTTCTCCACCCGTCGCCTCTTGACATTGTGTGTCCAGTAAATTGCAATATTTATTATATTTTATGGTCATTCGTATTATTATTATTGTTGTTGTAAAACTAACTTTTGAACACATTAGACCCTCCATTGTTGGAAGGGGCGGGTTATATTTACAAATTCTGCCTGCAATATTTCCTCAGTTTAAAATAGTAAAGAGGAAAACCAGTCGCTGTATGACACACTAGATTTCCATTGCCCGATGGGTGTTGGTTTTATGAATAAATAGATGAATGAAAACTTTGTCATAATGCGGCACAGTGGTTAAAGGAGAAAATTTAAATAAATTCGTTACATTTGTTAATTGTAGGTGAGATAGCTGATAGGAATGGCAACC